AAATTATTAAGGATATTTATAGATTTATATGGCCACATATTTACAATAGATTTTTGTCCCACCTTTTTCGCATGGTAACCACTGACAGTTTTGCTAATTGAATAGTAAAACTTCAATTAATCAGGGAAGCATATGTTCTCACTGACACAAGAAATTAATAAGATGGTTTGGATTTTTTTTCAAGTTCTAAAGTTTTTAAATATTTAAGTCCTTGGGCCAGGAGCAGTGGCTCACGCCTGTAATCCCAGAACTTTGGGAGGCCGAAGCAGGCAGATCACGAGGTCGAGATCGAGACCATCCTGGCCAACATGGTGAAACCCCGTCTCTACTAAAAATACAAAAAAATTAGCCGGGCGTGGTGGCACGTGCCTGTGGTCCCAGCTACTCGGGAGGCTGAGGCGGAAGAATCACTTGAACCCAGGAAGCGGAGGTTGCAGTGAGCCGCGATTGCACCACTGCACGCCAGCCTGGTGACAGAGCAAGACTCCGTCTCAAAAAAAATAATAAAAATACAAATACAAAAATTAGCCAGGCATGATGGCGCATGCCTGTAATCCCAGCTACTCAGTAGGCCGAAGCAGGAGAATTGCTTCAACCAGAGAGGCAGAAGTTACAGTGGGCCAAGATCTTGCCACTGTACTCCAGCCTGGGTGACAGAGCAAGACTCTGTCTCAGGAAAAAAAAAAAACATATATATATTTAAATCCTCTTTTCTTGCAAAATTAGTATAATACTGAAAACATAATTGGTTTACTTTATTTTATTTTATTTTTTTGAGACAGAGTCTTGCTCTGTTGCCAAGGCTGGAGTGCAAGTGGTACAACCTCAGCTCACTGCAACCTCTGCCTCCCAGGTTTAAGCAATTCTCCTATATTGGTGGTGGCGGTGTGGTGGTGTGCGCCTATAGTCCGACTAGCTGGGACTACAGGTGTGTACCACCACACCAAGCTAATTTTTGTATTTTTAGTAGAGCTGGGGCTTCACTATGTTGGCCAGGCTGGTCTTGAACTCCTGAACTAAAGTGAACTGACCGTCTCAGCCTCCCAAAGTGTTGGGATTACAGGTGGGAGCCACCGTGCCTGGCCCATAATTGATTTTTTTTTTTTTTGATAAATCAGTATCTCATGGTCACTCTGAGAACCAGTTCACAATGTTTAACATCAAAAGATCTAGAAAGTAAGCTAATGTGATCTGACTACAGAACTTTCACATGGAAAGTGTTTTCATCTTCTCAAATTCTTAGGTATTCTTGTTCTCTCCAAAAATTAGCACACAACAATTTCTACTAAAATCCATTAGCTTAAGATTTCGCTGAATTTCAACAAGCAAAGCTTATAATTCAATCAAAACTTTACAAGTTAAAATGGTCACTATAGCTTTTTGGCACAAGTAAAATTAAGCCTTTTGCTATAAACTAGTGTAAAAAGGCAATATTTATCACATCAAAATGGTATTATACTACAGAAAAGAAAATTGATTTAATGAAAACCTAAAATTATGAAATGTAACTTACTTCCTCAGGGAATCTATAATATCCATAGAAAAGTGTTCATCCCAGCCACAGTCCAATAAAAATCTAAACTCATCAACTTGGAGAAGATAGCAAAGGGCAGATTCTTCTTGGACCCCAGAAAGGGTAGTTAATTTGATAATAGATGTCATTTTGTTTTTGGTCCAGAGACAGCAGGCTAAAAGGATCTTTCAAAGGAAATGAAAACATAATTAAACATAAAAGCACAGTCTGACATATATAATAGACAAATTGATTAAAGTTATTTCAAATATTTAAGTGCATAGAAATTCCATTAACACAAAAAGCAGTTCAAAGGCCCATTTCCATCATTGCCAAGTTTTTTATTTATTTTTTAACTGAAAGCAAGCTTATTAAGTCACTGTCAAGTTTAAAAGCACAAACATAATCTTAGACACAATGAGTCCTTTAGTGGCTCCTCAGTAGGGTTTAATAAAAGGTAGTGAATGTTGCAATCAAATAGGGCGATATATGAATCTACTCCTATGTCATTTGAAGCAAGTTAATTAACCTTTCCTCACCTATGTATCTTAGCCTATAAAACATTAATATTAATATATATGTAAAAAGTATATTGAAGTATTTCAAATGATGTATAAATTACCCATAACAGATACTACTGCATCCAAGTTCCTCAATAAATAAATGTTTAGGAATTAATTATCTCATCCTTGAAGGTGAATTTGTTACTTTTTATCTTGCTCTGTGATGGCACTCATTTCACTGTTATTACAATGATTAGTTTATATGCCTTTCCCTCCTATTAGTTAGACCAGTGGTCCTTGGGAATCTGGTAAAAACCTATGGCCCTTCCCTTCTCCCCCACCAACTCTCAACACACCAAAACAAAAAACAAGAGTACATACACATGTAGAAATTCACAATCTTTTCAGGGAGTTTAACATTAAGAATCCTTGCATTGGAATGTGAGCAAGTGAAAAACAGAGGTGGCATCTTATGTTTGCAACTCCCAAATAGAACCTGACATACAATCAACATATATCTGATGGAATGCAAATTGGGATGCCTACTACATGTATTTCAGGAACATATAACATGAACATATCTAGAGGCCAGGCACGGTGATTCATGCCTGTGATCCCAGCACTTTGGGAGGCCGAGGCAGGAGTTTGAGACCAGCCTGGACAATGTAGTGAGACTCTGTCTCTACAAAATATTTAGTGCTCTATAATTGCTATTTATTTACTTGCTTTGTCTGTCATCTTCTCTCCACCTATGCCCACACGGGAATGTGGACTCCATGATGGTAAAGACCTTCTCTATTTTGATCACAGTTACATTCCAGCGCCTCCACAGTGCCTAACAGAGAGTGGTAGCAGATAAATTACGAAATGGGGCATGGCTAGTATTAAATAAGCTCACTGTCCTTACCACACCATAAACCGGAACCTATTTACATGTATTTGCCCTTGCTTGAGAGAGCTCTCTTGATCCATTTTTGTATCCTTAGTACATGAGCACATCCCTGCACATAGTGTTTGTTCAATAAATGTTGGTAAGTTAAAATTTAAAATATATTGACTTGTTTTTGTTTTTTAAAACGGGATCTTTCTGTCACCCAAGCTGGAGTGCAGTGGTGCAATCATATGGCTCATTTGCAACCTCAGCCTCCTGGGCTCAAGTGATCCTCCCACTTCAGCCTCTTGGGTAGCTGGGACTACAGGTACGCACCACTACATTCAGCTAATTTTTTTGTAGAGACAGAGTTTCACTATGTTGCCCAGGCTGGGCTCAACTGATCTACACCGGGGCCTCCCAAAATGCTGGAATTACAGGTGTGGGACATTAATTCTCTATTTGATGAAAAACGTTTATAAATAAAATTTGGGGAAGGACCTTGGAAATTCTCCTTGCCAAAAAGCTTACTGTGCCACAATTATATTAATGGCCTAAAGGAAACTCTTTTCTACTTAAATCTTCCTTAATTCCTACTTCCTTCATTTAGGTTATGAAGTAACATGCAAAGTATCTTGCAGCTAGAACTGAGTAAGTTCATGTTAAAACTTATTTGCAGACAGATCAAGACTTCAACAGACACAGCAATATTTTTACTACAAATGTTCATTAAAAAAGCTGTATATTAAACATTCATTACTTACTGATACCTGATCTCAGTCGTATGTATGATGAAACACCAGGAATTCTGCAGAGTTCTTTACAAATCTAAAAAATAAATAAGAGCCTTATGAATGTGGTATTATGATTTCACTGTTTATAATTATGGTGTTTAACTTGTATCTTGCCCTAAGACATCAGGAGCAGCGGCAAGTGGTATAACGTACGGTCCTTTTTTAAAAAAGAGATTTGTCATAATTTTAGGAAGCTTAAGCTTACATAAACAGATAAAATAATAAAAGACATAAAAATATTTAGGAAGGTTAAGCTGACATAACCTTATGTTATTGAGAATCATAGAAGAGGTGGGATTTAAGATTACTCACTAAGGATTGGTAACATATGGTAGAAACAAAGAGAAGGTACTCAAAACAGGAATAACAGGAGTAAAGCCACAAAACGAAAGCTTAAGAGTACCAGAAACCTCAGATCTCTGCACTTTTGAGTAAAAACTTTTAAAGTACCAGTGGAAAAACTAGCCTGCACACATTCACAAAAGCAAAAAATAAAAGGCCTAATGAACAGTAAGGGGCCATATAATAAAGGGCCTTGGAAATTTTGAACCTAGTCCTACAGGCAACAGAAACATTTTAAGATTCATTGCCAACTAGAAAGATGGTATGATACAGGTAATTCTGTATTTTGGGGAAATTAGCTGGTGTGTATGATTGATAAGATGATACAGAAAGCAGGGAGATAAAAACAGAAAGTATTTAATGGACCACTCCCTCCTAACTTTGCTGATTCTATCCTGGGACCAAATTTCTTCAGTCTCAAATGTATTTTATAGCTCTGTGACATCAATACATTAGTTGCTATCTAAATAATGAAGGCTTGAAATGCTACATGCTGATTCTTCACTGCTGAGTGTCTATTACCAGCTCCTGATCATTCTTCCCTCAGGAACGCTTTGCCTATCGTTCCTTTTCTATTTCTACTGCCAGCACCCTAATGCAGGAAGGGCCTCATTACCTTACATTTGGGTTTCTCAGTTTCTCTACCTCCAGTCTTTCCTCCCTTCATCCAACCTAAACATTGCTACCAGATTCATCTTCAGAAACACCCTGCACATATCACCCCTTGCTCAGAAATCTTTGAAGTACTGCTTAAGAAAAGACAAACCGAATGCCTTAACTGGCAATAGAGGAAGTCATCCTGACATCACTGCTCAATGTCTTCAGGCCCAGCTCATATTCCACCTCCTTACAAATTCCCACATCTAGTATAGACTAGAACAGCTCTGTCAACAGACATATAATACATGCCACAAATGTACTTTTAAATTTCTTCATGGCCACATGGAAAAGTGGGATTAATTTTAACGTATTGTATTTAACCCAATAGGTCCAAAATATTATTTCAACATGTAATCATGTTGAATATTTTACATAAATATGAAGTCATGTTCATATTAAATCTTCAAAATCCAGTGTGTATTTTATATTGACAGCCCATTTGAATTAGACTAATAACCACATCTGAAGTGCTCAGTAGCTACACGTGGCTAGTGGCTACTGTAACAGTGCAGATCTAGACTCCAAGACATAAAAATCAATGCCTTCCACTAGATAGAACATCGTGTTCTGTCACCCCTCAGGTGCAGGTTGGCACCATCCTATTTTTGTGTACATGTCTCTGACTGGATTTTAAGGGTATTGCCAAACATTTACTCTCCCAGATTAAAAACTCAAGTCACCTTCTTATCATCAACTTGGCAGTGACCAGGTGAATCCCATGTGACATTTACTTCATGTCTCTCTGACCTCCTTCACTGTCGTGCCTCCACAGAGGCACTCATTGCCTTACCTGAATGATTGAAAATTTCCTTTCATCTAGATTTCCTGTTCCCAGTTGATCCTCCATACAGCTGTCAGAGACCATCCTAAAAAAACAAGTATCCTCCTGCCCACTCCTTGCACAAAATATCCACTGGATTCCTGCTAACTACTGAATAAAATCTCAACTCCCTACTGGAAAACAAGATCCTCCAAAGCTGATCTTAACCTATCTCTTCCTTCACCAATCACTCTTGCACTAAACGCTCAAGCAGATTGTTATCCCATTCTCCCTAAGTATGCTAAAGCTTCTCAAAGCTCTGTATTCTGCACTGAATCCCAGAATTACCTTCTCCTTTTGAGCTCAGCAAATTCCTTTTCATCCTAATGAAACAGCTCAAATATTTACTCCTTTACAAAGCTTTTTTGTTGCCCTAGGCAAAGTTATTTTGTTATAAAGGGGGCACGAACAATATTTGTTGAATGGATGTCCAATGTATAAAGGAGTAAAAGTGATCATCTTTGTATATCCAATGCCAAGCTCAGTGGTCAAGATGGCATAAATGGGTACTGCAGGAAGGGATGAAGCCTCATCATATAATAAATTCCTTCAGGGCCCTGGTTTTGACAGATAGTACTTCATCGCAAATATCTATCACAGTTAACTTGCCCTCTCAATAATGATCAAATGATCGTGCATGTTGCTGGGTGCAGTGGCTCACACCTGTAATCTCAACACCTTGGGAACCTGAGTTCCAGACCAGCCTGGGCAACATGGTAAAACCCCATCTCTACTAAAGACACAAAAAAGTAGCCAGGCGCGGTGGCTGCGCTGGTGACCCCAGCTACTTGGGAGGCTGAGGTGGGAGGACTGCTTGAGCCCAAGACGTGGAAGTTGCAGTGAGCTGAGATGGCACCACTGCACTCCAGCCTGGAAGACAAGCGAGACTCCATCTCAAAGAATAAAAAATCATGACCGTGGCCTGGTGAGATGGCTCAAGCCTGTAATCCCAACATTGGGATCCCGGCCGTGGCAGGCGGATCACCTGAGGTTGGGAGTTCAAGACCAGCCTGATCAACACGGAGAAACTCTGTCTCTACTAAAAATACAAAATTAGCTGGGTGTGGTGGTGCATGCCTGTAATCCCAGCTACTCCGGAGGCTGAGGCAGCAGAATCACTTGAACCCAGGAGGCGGAGGTTGCGGTGAGCCGAGATCGCGCCATTGCACTCCAGCCTCATATCATAAATTCCTTCAGGGCCCTGGTTTTGACAGATAGTACTTCATCTGGGCAACAAGAGCGAAACTCAGTCTCAAAAAAGAAAAGAAAAAAAAAAATCATGACTGTGCATGTTGATGACAACTAAGGTGAACTAAGCAAAATCCAAGGGAAAACAGAAGAGTTTGGGTTAGCCTCGGAGCTCACTTAGCAGGAAGTCTCTTCCCGGTCAGTTGAGGATTGCAAGGCCGGGTATGGTGGCTCATGCCTGTAATCCCGGCACAGGCCAAAACGGGAGGATCTCTTGGCTCAGGAGTTCGACACCAGCCTGGGCAACATAGTGAAACGCCATTTCAAAGAAAAGAAGGGTGGGGGGAGAGAGAAGAAAGAGAGAGAGCGAGCGAGAGAGATTAACGGGATTGCAAAATTAAATATTAGTGGATGGGGCTGGGCGCGGAGGCTCACACCTGTAATCCCAGCACTCTTGTAGACCGAGGCTGGCGGATCACGAGGTCAGGAGTTCAAGGCCAGCCTGACCAACATGATGAAACCCCATCTCTCTTTAAAACTCTTTAAAAATAAAAATAAATAAATAAATAAATATGAGAATGGGTATAAATGATAGCTCAGGTTCACCTGGTCACAGGAGGCCAGACTTGCCGGGCTTGGAGCTAATCTGACCTCTTGTTTTCTAAAAAGCACGTAAAATAGCACGAAGTCAAAAAGAATTAGGACTTGGGACTTCACAGTGATAGTGGAAGCGCTTGAGGGCGATGGTGGGAGGGCTAAGACCCTTTTAGTACAGCATGGTACAAATATCCGAAAGGTCTCTGGAATCGATGAACAAAAAGGACGCCTCCGTGGTATGGTCTCTCAGCCCAAAACGACGGAAAGAGTCCGAGCGCTGGAGGCTGAGAACACCGCAGCCACGAGGCCAAGGACCCAAAGCTGGCGTCGGTTTAACTCCTCCAGCGCCGCGAGATGAAAGGGGGAAGCACAGGGAAACAGAAAGGAGGGAAGGAGATCCCGGGAGGGAACCGCATGGGCTGCCGCAAAACAGCCAGAAGCTTGAGACCCATGGAGAAGTCACTTCTCTTTCCCTCGCTGACCACTTCTGCCGGAAACGGCCGGGACAGTCGCAGCCGGGGGACGCGTACTCTGGGGAGACCGGGTCGGAGACAGGGCCCGCCACTCCCGGAGGGCCGATGACGCCGCCTCCCCCAGCCAGAGGCTCGCTCCTTTCTCCCGCCCTCACTTGCCTCGTCTGGCCTCCCCTAGTGCCGTCCACTTCCCTTCCCAACCCCTAGGCGAATCCAGGTTCAAGAGGGGGAAAAGCCGATGCTGACTTAGCAGCGCCGGGGACCACCGACCGGCAGAAACCCCGCAGTGGCGGCCGCCATTTTGGAGCTGGAGACGAGCGGCGGAAGCAAAGAGCACCCAGGACGAGACCATCTCCGGGGGGTGGGCACAGGGCTGTCGGAAGAAGACGGCGCTCACGCCTGTATGCCTCTTCGGCGTTGAGCCAAGTTTTATTCAGAAATTATTGATAATGTTTAGTAGCTAAGAAAAAATGAGAGGAGTCAACCCTGAGGAGGAAGAAGTAGTGTGATTTGCCGGCGCCACCCCTCTGCTCCCTGCGGACGCGGCGAATGGCAAGTCCCGAGGTCGCAGCTTCTACTGGAGCCGGTGGCTGAGTTCTCCGTTGTCCTTGGGGTGTCCGGTCGCTGTTGCCACTGGACCTGCAGGTGGGTCTGGGGAGCCTGGGCGGCCGCGGTACCGCCGACGACGGCGAGGGTGGAGGGGTCCTGGCGAGGGTGGAGAGGAGGGTTCTAGACAATTCCTCGGTGCTGTGCGTGTGTGGAGGGGTAGTCTGCGCTTCCCTGGGCCTTCTTAGCTAAGATGAGTGGAAAGGGAAAGGTTTTCTCCGGGTGGGGGATGGGGTTTCCAGGCCGGAGCTTTTGGAAAGGGTTTTCTGAGGCTTTCATAGCAGAAAACGTCCGGAGAGATGTGACCCAGTGACCGCTCGCTAGCCGGACTGGAGAGGAGACCGGCGGCGATCTTACCATCTGGCCTGAAGCGAGCAGCGTAATTTCGTCCAAGTCCCAGCCTTCTGTCTCCTCGCTAACCTCGCTGTCTTCCAAACCGCAATCCTCTTGAGCCGACACCTTTGCACCAAAATGATGCGCTTACCCTTTTACTTTGCTTTTTAATTTTTATTTTTGAGTCAGAAATTCACTTTTGTCACCCAGGCTGGAGTGCAATGGCGCAGTCTCGTCTCACTGCAACCCCCGCCTCCCGAATCCAAGCGATTCTCCTGTCTCAGCCTCCCGAGTAGCTGGGATTACAGGCGAACACCACGCCCGGCTAATTTTTATATTTTTAGTAGAGACAGGGTTTCACTATGTTGACTAGGCTGGTCTCGAACCTCTGACCTCAGGTGATCTGCCCGCCTCGGCCTCCCAAAGTGCTGGATTACAGGCGTGAGCCACCGCGTCCGACCAACATTTTGCTTTTTTTAAAACGTAGTATTTAAAATCGATCTTGGTTTCTAAGACCTCAAGGAGTTCCAGGCGTCAAATAATTTTATTCCTTCCGTGCATCTTGCAAAGTTTTCACAGGTTAAATCGACAGTTTTTTAGCAATACATCTAAAGTGCTGCGGGGACTGGTTAGACAGTGTCTCCTGGTTTCCAATGTGAATTTGGAGTGACTTATAAAAAAGGTATGCACCAGATGCGTTTTTCTTTCTAGTGGTTGAGTGAGGGAAAACATGGGATTGAAGAAGAATATTAGGAAAAATAAGAAAAAAAGTGAGATTGATATGAATGTTTATCTCTGTGCTTAGTACGAGAGACAGTAATATACAAGAGCTTGGGCCACAGTGGCTCAGGCCTGTAATCCAAACACCTTGGGAGGTCAAGATGGGAGGATCTTGAGCCCAGGAGTTTGAGACCATGGAGCCAGACTGCCTGGGTACTAATCACAGCTCTGCCACTTACCTGCGTCTGTGACTATAGGCAAATTACTTTATCAGGATTGTCCCCGGATTTCTTCATATGAAAAAAATAAGCCTATTGCTTTGGGGACATTGTATTAGCTAAGATGTAGGTAGTGTTATTGTGAGGATTATATAAGTTGGTAATTATGAAAAGCATCAAGAAGGATGCCTGGCAGTGCTTTAAGATTCAGCTCTTGCCAGGCCTGGTGGCTCACGCCTGTAAACCCAACACTTTGGGAGGCGGAGGTGGGTGGACAACCTGAGTTCTGGAGTTTGAGACCAGCCTGACCAATACGGAGAAGCCCCGTCTCTACTAAAAATACAAAAAATTATCTATGAACACAGAGACATGTATTGTCTAGTGTTTTGCAGTTTAGTACTTCCAACTTTATCTTATTTGAGGCACTCATTATTCCCACACTTGCCTGGCTCAAGATTATAAAGCAAATAAGCGGCTAACGTGGCCACTTGGTCTGTATCACAAAAAGTACCTAAAGATATAAATACAAATAATGTTGCCTAATGAAGGCACCATCTTTTAGGAAATAAAGTCAGGTTGATTACACTTACATTTATATGTCCAAGAACCATTTGCATCAAAATCTATGGGGGAGTTCTTTTAAGTACAGATTTTCCAGCCTCACCTGGAGGTAAGGCCAAGAGATCCCTAGACTGAAAAGGGCTCCTCCAGTGATTTTGATGTACAGTCAAGTTTAAGAACTCCAGCTGTAAATAATAGACTAAAACATAAAACAAATTGATGGCCGTTGTAAATTAACTATTTAAATATCCTTAACCGCTGTCATAATTTTTTAGACCAGTGATATACTGGAACATGTGTAGCATTACACTTCATAAAATACAGTATGTAATAATTATGTGATTTTTAAGTTCATGACCACTTCCTAAACCAGACACTTTGGAAGTCTGAGAAATAATTTGAATTGTGAGGTCAGGTGCTGTGGCTCAATCCTGTAATCCCAGAGCTTTAGTATGCTGAGGCAGGAGGATCACTTTAGCCCAGGAATTTGAGGTTCCAGTGAGGTATGATCATGTTACTGCATTCCAGTCTGGGAAACAGAGCAAGACCTTTCCTTTTAAAAGAAAAGTATGGCCAGGCGGGTGTGCGGTGGCTCATGCCTGTAATCACAGCACTTTGGGAGGCCAAGGTGGCCAGACCACGAGGTAAGGAGTTCGAAACTAGCCTGGCCAACAGTGAAACCCCATCTCTACTAAAAATACAAAAATTAGCTGGGCATGGTGGCGCGGCTGAGAATTTGCTGGGCATGGTGGCCGAGACAAGAGAATTGCTTGAACCCAGGAGGCGGAGGTTGCATCGAGCTGAATTTGCACAACTGCACTCCAGCCTGCACCACAGAGCGAGACTCTGTCTCAAAAAATAAAAAAGAGAGAAAGAAGTATGAATTGGATAACTATGCCACCCAGTGTCGGAGGAGAGACAGAAATTTAGTCTACATAGTCCTAGCACAGCTTAGTGCTGAGCAAGTGTTGACAACAATAATGTATTGATTGTCTTTGTACGATGATAGGTCTTCTCAGTCAGTGTACATGATTTATTAATTTAGGTCCAAATGCACACAGGTGTGTTTTGACTTCCTCTGTATATACAAATTTTTACAGAAAATTGGCAATCCAACTATGTTTTTATTGAATTAGTGCAATTTATTTTCCACATGATAATTATTAAAGGTTCAGCATCCCTGATCAGAATATTGAAAATCCAAAATGCCCCCAGATCTGAAACTTGAGGCCACAAGTTTGAGACCAGCCTGGGCAACATAGCAAGAGCTACAAAAAAAAATTTTTTTTAAGAATTTTTTTTTTAATTAGCATGTATAGCTCCAGCTACTCAGGAGGTTGAAGTGGGAAAATCACTTGAGCTCAGGAGTTCAAGACTGCAGTGGACTATGATAACTCCACTGCACTCCATCCTAGGTGACAGAGTGAAACTTTCACACAAAAAAAAACGCATATAAGATTACCTTCAGGCGCCAGGCGCAGTGGCTCAAGCCTGTAATCCCAGCACTTTGGGAGGCCGAGACGGGTGGATCACAAGGTCAAGAGATCGAGACCATCCTGGTCAACATGGTGAAACCCCGTCTCTACTAAAACTACAAAAAACTAGCTGGGCATGGTGGTGCGTGCCTGTAATCCCAGCTACTCAGGAGGCTGAGACAGGAGAATTGCCTGAACCCAGGAGGCGGAGGTTGCGGTGAGCCGAGATCGCACCATTGCACTCCAGCCTGGGTAACGAGTGAAACTCCGTCTCAAAAAAAAAAAAAAAAAAAGATTACCTTCAGGCTATGTGTATAAGGTATCTATATAAAGCACAAATGAATTTTACGTTTAAATTTGATCCTATCCTCAAGATAGCTCATGTATATGCAGATATTTCAAAATCTGAACAAATCCAAAATACTTCAGGTCCCAAGCATTTCAGATACAGAAAACTCTATAGTTTAGAACCCTATAGTTCTATTCCTCCTCGTCCACCTCCTGGGAACTCAGCATTTAAAAGCTTTTAAGTACCATAAACATCAATTCAGGGAGGGGTTTTTTAGGCACGAGCTATAATATAATAGGAGCCAAAGCTGTAGAGTGAAGCTGAATTTGAATAGCTATTTGGATTAAACTATTTTCTTTCTTTTTTTTTTTTATGGCATGAGTCTATGTCTGAAGGATTAAGCTATTTTCTTATCTGTAAAATGTAGATAATAGTTATTTCACATTACATATAGAAATGTATGATGGCTCTGGTACCTAGCAGTCATTCTTTTTTTTTTTTTTTTTTTTTTTTTTTTTTTTTGAGACAGCGTCTTTCTCTGTTACCCAGGTGATCTGTGATCTCAGCTCACTGCAACCTCCACCTCCTGTGGTCAAGCAGTCCTCTCTCCTCAGCCTCCTGAGTAGCTGGGACTACAAGCATCTACCACCACACCCAGATAATTTTTTGACTTTGTGTAGAGACAAGGTTTTGCCGTGTTGCCCAGGCTCGTGTCAAACTTCTAGGCTCAAGCAGTCCATTCGCCTTAGCCTCCCAAAGTGCTGGGGTTACAGGCATGAGCCACCTGGTAGTCATTCTGTAAAAGGAAGTTTTCTTCCTTTACCTTTTGTTTTTCTTTTTTGAGATGAAGTCTCTCCCCCAGGCTGGAGTGCAGTGGCACCATCTCAGCTCACTGCAACCTCTGCCTCCTGAATTCAAGCAATTCTGCCTCAGCCTCCTGAGTAGCTAGGATTACAGGCATGCACCACCACTCCTAGCTAACTTTTGTATTTTTAGTAGAGATGGGGTTTTACCATGTTGGCCAGGCTGGTCTCAAACTCCTAACCTCATGATCTGCCTGCCTCAGCCTCCCAAAGTGCTAGGATTACAGGTGTGAGCCTCCACACC